CAGGTTATGTTTAAGTGGATCGATTTGTTTATTTTAAACGCATCACCGTCCGGCTCAATGTTCACGGTGAAGTAGCCCTCTTTGTCGTTAAAGCTATACCAGCTTCTAGGATATTCGATCTCGGCTAGTCCGACTTCCCAATGTCCTTTTAAGTCTATAGCTTTTGCTAGTCGTGTTGTATAGCTGGATATGATGTTTCCCGGATAAAACGCCGACGATGCATTACACGGTAACGTGACGTAGAACCCGTGCTCCTCCATGACGATCCTTGCCTCGTGTGATCTCATCCGTTAACGTTGGAGTGTTTTAAGTCCACCAGAGTTTTTTTATCTATATAACTATTGAATTTTGAAGGCCATCCTAACCATTTCACTAAAACAAGCGTAGATTTCCCTTGTTTTTTCTGGCCTAAAATCTTTTCCACCTTAAAAGATTTGTTTTTACTAACAATTATTTTTTGCAGCTCTTTTTCATAAAATACCCCCTCGATGACTTCTCCGTCATAATCCGTGAGTCTGTAGACTGGGGGCTGTCGCGGAATACACGAAGACACTGTGAAAAATTCTTCAGTGTAGTTCTGTTCATAACCTTTGGCGAACGTACCTCTCACTTTAGAAATCCTCACGATATCGCCGACTTTGAAATTAAATACGGGTTTCTCCGTCTTCTTTATATCGCCGTACAGGTTTTGAAACACTTGACCCTCATTGTCTCTGCTGACGTCCACGGGTCTCATTTTGATACTTCGGTGATAACTGGTGTTGTACCCCTCCATTATGTCCGGTAAGACATCAATGTACCGTTGGGAATTTGTGGCCGTTAAAAATCGCCACATACGACTTTTTAACGTTCTATTAAATCGTTCCACGACGCTGGCTTTCAAATCGGTAGCGGTAGCGAAATGATTAATGTCGTGCTTTTTCATGACATTCTGAAAATGTTTATTGAAAAATTCCTTGCCCTGATCCGTCTGCAATTTCTGAGGCACACGACCCTCGTCGAGTATAGATTCGAACGCCCTAGTAACCTCGGGGCCGCTCTTATTCTTCAATATGCGACTCCAGGCATACTTGGAAAATACATCTATAACAGTCAAAAGAAATTTATGACCATGATTCTGTTTAGCATAGGCGCTCATGTCCACTAAATCGGCCTGAAACTGGGTATCGACTCCGTAGACAACCACCCTGTTTCGCTTATAATTTACAGGGGCTGTTTTGTGTAACGTGTATGCGTCCTCGCCGGCCAACCATTGTGAAACTTGATTATCGCTTAGACGGACTCCGGTATCTTTTAAGACGGCGTCTTTTAATCGTTTTTTACCGCCTAAAGAACCGGGATTGGAAGGTGTATAATAAGCCTCTTTCATGAGCTCCGACATGCTGTTGCTGTTTCAACCGCCGTGAAAGAATAATACAAATGAGTGATTTGAATCAATCTTTTATTAAAAAACGTTACAAATATAAAAACAATGAAGAATAGATATAATGGTATTAATAGAACAAAACAAAATTGGATAAAATGAATATAATGAGGTTACATAAAATGTCTAAGTAAAAAGGCATGCACACTCTAAGTAAAAGTAGATATAATACTACAGTCTAAGTAAAAATGGATATAGTAGAAAACATTTGACAGAATAACATCATTGACAGTCTAACCAGTAGATGAAATTTCTGCATGACATCATGTTATGATCTAGGAGATAATTGACAAACATCTCGATAACTCTGGGGATGTCATCATCGTCATTGTCTTTTAGTTTTGGAACCATTAGTTTACATACATCGGCCACATAAGTACACATACAGAGTACATCAGGGACTTGTAACCCACAGCTGGATTCAATCATCATAACCAGAGTATCTTTTAACAGTACACACAGTGGCTCAATACCGTTGAAACATATGTTTGCTAATTCAGCCCAAGAATCAGGCGTACCTCTTATAAATGTCATATGTTTCTTGAGTGTTCTTACACGCTTGGTTTCAACATCAACGTCGTCATCATCATCATCATCATCCGATTCACTTGAATACTCGATGGCTCTGTCCATTAATGAAACCAGTTGGGTTCTGTAATGTTCTTTAAACATGAATTGCATGTAACTCTTTCGGCTATAGGCGGCATCCATAGCTTGCGCCGTCATAGCTCGACTAAGAATGCGAGACCTTCCCAGAGATCAACAATGCCGTAGACTGTTTCCTCACAGGACTCGTCCAAGAGTACCCCCCTGATGTCTTTTAGCTTAGCGGCGATGAATGGTTCGTCTTTTAATTCGTGCAGAATAGTACCGACTGTTCCTTCAATACGCTTGGGGTGAGATTTTAGCCCGAACCGGCTCAGGAGGATAGAGATGATGGTATGAAAATAGGGTCTAAACAGTCTGCCTGAAAGTTCATCAAAGTGTGTGTCGAAGAAGTAGTTAGGAGGGTCAAACAGGCAGGAATGTTGCAGCTGGCTGGGGTGGTCAATAGCACATCCCTCGCAGTCGTCCTTCAGCTTCTTACTGATGATGTGCTCCAGCAAAACCACGGTCGCTGCTTTTATGATTTTGAATCCAACGTCGCTGAAACATCCGTCTGTGGCGTCGTAACGAGGTTGATCAAGAGTGGGATAAGTCACGGGTGGAGATCCGGGGTTTTCGGGAGATGCAGGGTTTTCGGGAGATGCAGGGTTTTCGGGAGATGCAGGGTTTTCGGGAGATGACGGTGGTGATGCTGAAGGTTTAGTGCAACCGCAGTCGCACTCGATGAGCGGATCCCAGTCTAATCGGCGATTGATAATGTTACCGTGAGACCAATCGTTTTCAAGGCACGATTGCAAGTCTATGCGACGCTTGATAGTTTTAGCCGGAGCCCAGTCTGCATGAATGTCCGATGGGACGCTGGCGTTGGTCTGTATATGAAGGGATGGGTTGTCGTCTACAGGGTCGAGAATGCTGTCGAAAGAGATTCCACAGCTGCACACGTGAACCGGTTCTGTACCGCCGTCTTCAGCCATGGCTTATATATGATGCTTGTGTGGGTCGGGTCGCCGGAATTTATGGAGGTGTAGTAGAGGTGGGCGTCGCTTAAAAACGACGCATGGGAGGGTCTGCCAGACGAGCTTTCGGATGGCTATAGTGAATGGGGGCGGACTGCACAGCAGATGATCTGCTACGCGCACATTTCTCGGGGTGGAACAGCTGCACTTTGATTTTGTTGTATCCGTCATGCATGTCACACCATTTGAACAATTTGTTAATGGTTGAAAAAACACTACGCATCAGATCCAGATCACCCCACTTGAACAAAAATTGCATTTCATACAGATCATGATGCTCGTTAGGCAGGATGACTGCTGACCGTGTGCTGCTGAGCTTTGTCTTGTCTTTACAGCAGAATATGTAAACAGCATCATTCGGCTTCTTATTAGTATGGTCACCTACCACACGGTACCGGACATTCGGAGTTACACCATCCCACTCTGCCGTGTACAAAGGCTCTTCACCGACGTCGTTCAGATCCGCCCAGACAAATTTGTAAAATAGAGACCAGTCTTTTTCAGGAAAAACAACGCACGGATCACCCCCAGGCTGGAACTCTCCGGGCCCATCAGTGTTGTAGAGCATAACAACTCGAGATGGTTTATGAAATTTGTACCCGAATAGACAGTTGCCAGACAACATGAATTCACCCTTAGTCCATTCCGAAATTTCATGGAGAAAATTGGTCAAACGGATATGACCAAAAGGTTTTCTCGGCGCCATAGTCAGACTTTCCATCATCTTGTTGCTCACCCCCTCGTCCGGGGAATTTGGGGGGGATAAAGCGTTCATGCTCATGTAGCTCATATTTCGTCTTTCAGGTCTGGTCTGGGTACAGCACAGAGACCCCATTTATAGGCAATGCTCACGGGTGGGGGGTTGTGGGAGGGATCATGTGACACGATCTGCAATCTTTTTTAGTTAAACTATATATTTTATACACTTTTAAGAGATATTTGTGTCACACGATCTGTGATCTTTTTTAGCATTGTGTGAGAGTGGGTGGGAGGGAACCCTGGATTTCAAAAACATCTGGCACCATCAAAGCCAAAACATCAGACAAACCAATGACATATTTATACACCCTCGGTCAAAGGGGCAAATCATCCATCAAAACAACCTGTCAAAACTTTCTGTCAACCAAATGATCGAACACTCATTAGGGCAAAGGTTAATCCATCAATCCCGGAAACGGGGAGGGCTAGGTCAAAGGTTAATCCATCAACCCCGGAAACCGGGAGGGGGAGGTCAAAGGTTAATACATAACCCCGGAAACAGGAAGGGCAAGGGGAGGGGCAAGGTCAAAGGTCACCATCAATCATTTTGACACAAGCTGTCTGGTAATAACTACTAACATCATCAAGCAAGCATCAGTGTTTGACAATCTATATAAGTACAATTTTATATTACTATATTTTATTTTAATATAATTATATTATAGGCCTAATATATTATTTAATATAACAAAATCATTTAATAAATCATAATATAATAATTAAAAGTATAATTAATATCATTTAATGCGATTAAAATGAGTGAAGAAACCAAAAGACTCATGGTGTATTATCAAAACAAAAAGAAAAGAAAAGAAAAGAAAAGAAAAGAAAAGAAAAGAAAAGAAAAGAAAAGAAAAGAGTGCCCATATTCTGAAAAACAGACCAACAAGTGGTCGTGAGTGACTACACATATCAACAGGTTAAAGACTGTAAGTACAGCACTGCTGACTGAGCTGCATTTACTGCATGCTTACTATCTATGAGAGATGAATTATGGCACAAGCGATAACCGCAACATTCATGTTCAGTTTACAATCATTCCAGATGTTTGACGCTGGAAAATCTCAGTGTTTACTGAGCTCATAGACGTCTACCATGTGCGCAGGACTACAGTAGCACCATCGTCTGCTTACTGGCCTGGACATGAACAGCAAAACACATAACACAGGCTTCGGGTGTGAAACAACGTGTCTTACCTTGCTTCGTATTTGCCCGGAGGTTGACACTTTCCTGATGAGTTTCTGCGGCCCTTCCTGCTCTCCCTCGCTGTCGGATGACTCGTCCACCACCACCACCACCGGCCCGGGTCCCCCGACAGCCCCCACGGCGGGCAGCCCTGAAGGGGTCGCGGCTGGTTTCTCCGGCTCCTGCGGGGAAGAGTCACAGCACTCCGGGTTATGAACGCGTTCAGCCGCTCCCTTCCTCTCCGCCGGGATGCGGGAGCTGAATAACGGCTGGAAAGCGGTTCTCCTGGCCGTCATGCTTTTGCGCTTTTCTGCCCAACCGGCGCCCCACCAGGGATTCACTTAGAGTCTGTTATTTTTAAACGAGCTGCTGTGAAACTTTCCTAGCCGGGTGGTGTGCATTTTCGTGTCTGAACACGAGCGCTGGGTCTCTGACTGCATGAAGGAAGGCAGACGGGGGGCTGAGACGCTCGGAGCGGGAGGAAATCTCTGTAGCAAACCCTAGCGGCGGACGGGTATCTCACAAACTATGGCGAGGGATACAGCAACAGATGTTTCTTCTGTAACATTATACAAAGCCACAACCAGACCGAGTCTCAAAACCTATGAGAGCTGCCAAACAGACTGCAGTTTGGACATTAACGCGTTCCGGAAAACTATCAAGGGGGACACATTCTACCACATTATCATATTTAAGAAATATACAATATCCTATATCTACACATACAGTACATGTAGCCTATGCATATGATGATATAGTGTATTTGTTAGGTTTTCTGGGTCCCTTGTTCAGTTTATTGCATTGGGCCTCCTCGGTAGAAATCTAGGTCCATACATTATATCGCTTGAGACTGTAACCATAGCAACAGTTGGCGGCTCGAGCGCTTTTGTCGGGATGCGAATTGGACACCCACAAAACACTAGCTAAGTAGCTACATAAGTACTGTCTTTATTTGTCACTTTATTGCCCATTTCATGTCCAAATTATATCAATTAAAAGTTTGGTTTATATCGAAAAATATATGCTATACGTGCTATTGTGCGCCGCTTGCGCGAGGCGAACCTCCTCAGATTCGCATGCTACCGGAATTATCGTAGCTAAATACTAGTTTTCCATTTAAAAAGTTGGACATGAACGCCCTCGCACGTAAAAAATTGAATGCGATGAGCTCGTAATCATGACTTCAGAATTGGGAAGTAGAACATTTCCGATAGCACGTGTGAAGGCAGCATTTCAACATAATATTTAGTTTGAATCAAAATGCTAGTTTGTTTAGTCACTTATTCACTTATTGCATTTATATTCACATCAGCACACATTATAATAATAAATAAAAGCCATTATGAAGTAGGCTAAGTAACATTGAGATTTTTATAAATGAAGACTGCTGATCAGTGTAGCAGAACTTACTCTTAAGTTTAAAGGCATCTTTTGTGAATTCAAACTGATGACCAAAACACAAATCCTATTGATTGATTGATTGATTGATTTGATCGATCAGTCTATGTATGCCAGTCATATTTTAAAAACATTTCGCCAGAGCATTTCAATAGTGTCTTATTTAAAACTCTTAAATAAGTCAGCACCAAAAAAACTAATTAGCCTCATTTAATTCCACTATATCTCTATGAAAATGGGTCATTGCGGTTCTCACATTTCCTCTCAGTCCATTGAAACTTTGAATGGAAAAAAAGAGCTACACGCGATGTCACTCACTAAGATAAGATCATTGATTAGTTTGATATTTTACGCTGCAACTTATAATGTCTAAATCAATCCCGTACACAAGTTCACCAGTTTGTAGAGGAATGTAGAACGGAATTCTTCGTAGCGATCTTACTTATCGAGATAATTAAGCCACCGATCAGATCAAGAGCTTGCGAAAATACTACTAAAATCCTTAATCACTGCCTATACATATACATGTAGGGTTATGAAGGATCTCTTTAATAGTATCCGAATAGAAAATGTACTGACCAGCTCTTCCCAGGCAGGGCTGCGAGTATATTGGCAGTCTTCATCTTCCATTATTCTCCTATAGTCCCCACAAATCAAGCGCGACTTTCACTCGTGGAATTGAGCATATGGTTTGAGTGTTAGGCTATTTCCCTTTCTCATCTCCACTCCTCCCTATAGACTACTCTATCAGGGTCTCCCAGAGGCTGAGCCTCTTTCTTTCCACGTGACAAATGTCAAATCCCTATTAAGGAATCGAAGCGCTATCCATGACGTCACGAAACCTGCGTTTTACACATAATCCCACTTTTTAAAGACTCACTAAGACCATGACTTTATTTAAAACCGCGTGCTTTTGTGGTGGTTTCGAAGTTCATTTGAACTCTAGGCTATTCTCTCATATTATCACAAATATTATTTTATTTTGTCAAAGCTCGAATAATTCTTTTTAAAGTCCCCATGAAATCTTTTTTTTTTTGTGGCTTTTATTGTGAATTGTTAGTCTTACTGTTATTTATAAGCTAGTGCGGCTCCAAAACAATGACAAAATCAGAATTTAGAAGATTTAAGCATTCAAAACTTAGCCAGTCTCTCACTTCCGCCATATGGATCAATAATTTTGATGACATCACTCTGCACTTCAGCTTCTCATCAGATTTTCTGTCCAATCAAATGCTCTCTAGAATCTAAAACGTCCTGCAGGCCTACAACATTATAATCAGACTCTGAAGCTGTGGCTGACATCGGTCGTTTCTTCATACATTTACTATTTTCTACATGATGAATGGCACATTGTGCACTATATAGGGGACAGGGAACGATTCAGACAGTGTGTAAATATGCTTTTCGTTGGGGCGAATGAAGTCTGGTTTCATGTCTCACAGTCTGCTACACACAGTCTGCTATACACAGTCTGCTATACACACACAGTCTGCTCCGGTCCGCTCTGGATCATTTGAACTATTTGAATTCTGTACAGAATTCTGTATTTTAAAGCGATATGGAGCAGATTAGAAGGAGTAACGGTTAGAGATTAGGAGAAAAGTGCGGTTTTGCCGAACTCAACCCCAGACAGCAACAGTGTCGGCCCAGATCTGGCCTACCAGATGTGGGCCGGATCTGGGCCGACACTATTGCTGTCTGGGACGGCTCTGGCCGAGCTGTTATATAAACAAACCCGCCCTGTCTTCCTGTTTTAGTGGAAATTATATCAACACATTGAATAATTCTGCGCGTTTCAAGGCACTTCAGTGGGCCTTTAATTGCACTTTTTTTTAATAACAGTATAGCCTACATTAGATTAAATTAGCATATCGAGTCACTAACTTCACATGTACATTTTAATATATAATAGCTAAAATAATATGATTATCTAATACAACAAGACGATGTGTAACCATTCAGCCTAAGACAGAATTTTATTGTATTGCATTTTATTTATTTTAGTTAAGGTTTCACCCTATCTTCGTGCTTATTTATAGATTCGACCCTAGTCAGTTCAAGTAAAACCTAATAGATTACTAAGATCTACGACATTGGTTACCCCAAGCTAAACAGAAGTTATTTTTTTGCGAGTTATTTCTAGAAAACAACGCTCCTTGACAGGTTTTGTAAGTTTGTTTCCCGTGGAACCCATAATGCAGCAGCTTGTTCCACACGGAAGACCTATTCAAACGGACAGTTTCTGTCCTTCACCTAATTCCCTCCGTCTAGATCTGTGCACCGGTGATGTAAACACTCATGACGTGAGCATGATGAAATATCAGTGAATATATAACAGTGTAGCCGATATATTTGTAATTTAACAGCACTTTTTAAAGGGTCGGTATGCATTCGCGTATTTTATTTAAAGGGACAGCAGCAGCTGTTGCTGCGAGAAGGATTCGCCATATATTGGGACCCGTAATGTCAAAAGAAGGTTGGAACTGCAGCGCACATGAGGTCAAACTCCTCAACACCTCATCAGGTACTGATTTCAACAAAGCCAAAGTCTGTTTATCTGCACACAATATGACCCTTCTTGTCTTTATAGTTTGTTATTAAAGAGGTTTGAGGTTAAGCTTTCACTCAAGTATTACATAGATGTTCACTGACAGGTCAAGAGGAGCCCACCAAGGTCTATTTACTCTGTATTCTGTCTTTTGAATACGTTTCTATGTTTACATCCGTCTTTAACGTTTCCATAAATATTGACATTTAAAAAATAAATGTCTGCTCTGTTGACAGTGTTTGTAAATAGAATGTTTCATATCATGTTTGGTTATTTGTTTGCTTTGTTTTTCTATTTAACTGAACTTTTTTTTTTGTCTCCAAAGGTGACACTGTGAAGATTGGCGAGATCTCATATCGACTCAAAACCCCCAGAAATCCAGAACTTGTGCCAGTAAACCACAGTATGTGCTAGTTATAATACACTGCTGTGTGAACTTGAGGAGAATTGACTTCATGCGTCCATTAAATGTCACCAAAACACCAGCTGATTAAAATTCATATTAGGTCTAAGAAAATGTTTAGCATAATTTGTAATGCACATGATGCCACTTTGGTTTGACATGCTGTTGAGATCATTTTCATGCAGTACTTTATTATTGTTTTATTATCCATAAACAAAAATTAAACAATATTAATGTCCCAGCATGTATGCAGGATTTTTAAAGTAAATGTGCACATACCCAATAAATTAACATGTTTTATATACAGTATACAATACCGATCAAAAGTTTGGAAACATTACTATTTTTTAATGTTTTTGAAAGAAGTATCTTAAGCTCATCAAGTTTATTTACAATTTAAAATAATGGTTTGAATATATTTAAAAATATAATTAATTTCTGTGGTGCAAAACTGAATTTTCATCAGTCATTTCTCCAGTCTTTAGTGTCACATGATCCTTCAGAAATCTATCTATCTATCTATCTATCTATCTATCTATCTATCTATCTATCTATCTATCTATCTATCTATCTATCTATCTATCTATCTATCTATCTGTCTGTCTGTCTGTCTGTCTGTCTGTCTGTCTGTACATTCTCTCTCTCTTACCCAAACTTTAAACATTACTAAATATTTTTCAATAACATATTATATATATTTTTTGACAGTGATGGAGGCTTTGCCACAAATCATCACCCAGCACCTTCGCTGGATAATGCAGAAGGACCTTCTTGGACAGGACGTGTTTCTCATTGGTCCTCCTGGTCCTCTACGGCGCTCGATTGCCATGCAGTACCTGGTAATATCAAGTATTACCACTCCCAACCACAACCACCAATACATGCTGAATTTCTACAGAATAAAACACTCTGTCAATTTCATATGAACTATGTTTTTTAGAGTCTTTACTCTTTTTTTCCTTGTTTGCTAGGAGTTAACAAAGCGAGAGGTTGAATATGTTGCCCTGTCCAGAGACACTACTGAGACTGATCTCAAACAGCGCAGAGAGATCCGCTCAGGAACTGCCTTTTATATAGACCAGGCAAGTCAATCTCTTTCACCTTTCACTCATCAGCATTGTTTATTATATATATTATTATACACAAACTCACTAGCCACTTAGCTACAGCTTGCTAATAGCCGGTTTGGATGCCCAGAATTGCCTTAATTCTTTGTGGCATAGATTCAACAAGGTGCTGGAAACATTCCTCAGAGATTTTGGTACATGTGTATTTGGTACATGTTCGCATCACGCATTTGCTGTAGATTTGTGGGCTAAACATCCATGATGTGAATCTCCCGTTCCACCACATCCCATATTGGATTGAGATCTGGTAAATGTGGAGCCCATTTGAGTTTACTGAACTCATTGCCATGTTTGAGATGATTTGCGCTTTGTGACATGTGGGTTATCCTGCTGGAAGTAGCCGTCAGAAGATGATACACTGTGGTCATAAAGGGATGGACATGGTCAGCTACAATACTCAGGTCGGCTGTGGTGTTTAAATGATGCTCAGTTGGTATTAAGGGGCCAAGAAAATATCCAACACACAATTACACAAGCAGCAGCCTGAACTATTGATACAAGGCAGAATAGATCCATGTTTACACCAAATTCTGACCCTAGCATCTGAATGTTGCTGCAGAAATCAAGACTCATCATACCAGACATGTTTTTCCAATCTTCTATTGTCCAATTTTGGTGAGCCCGTGTGAATTGTAACCTCAGTTTCCTGTTCTTAGCTGACAGGAGTGTCACTCGAGTGTCTTCTGCTGCTGGAGCTCTTCTGCTTCAAGGTTTGACGTGTTGTGTGTTCAGAGATGCTCTTCTGCAGACCACAGTTGTAACAAGTGCTTATTTGAGTTACTGTTGTCTTTCTATAAGAAACTGAACTTAAACTTCAGCAGATCGTCTACATGCTTAGTTGCTGCCGTGTGATTGGCTGATTAGATATTTTTGCGTCAACAAGCAGTTGAACAGGTGTACCTAATAAAGTGGTGGTTGAGCGTGTGTATATTTATTATTATATATTATAGTTATATATATATATATATATATATATATATATATATATATATATATATATATATATATAAATGTTGCCTTAGCATACATTTAAAACAGGAGTAAGTTGAAGTGCTAAAATTACTAAAAGTAAAATAAAAATGAATTAAATCTGAATTGAAATATATTTAAAAAATAAATAAAAAAGGCAATATCCCATAACAAAATTGCTAAAACTTAACTTAAAAATTATATTATATATATATTTTTTTTAATCAAAACTGTCTCTGCTGTACTTGAGACATGGGGTGTCTTCAGGTCACAGTCTCATGGTTAATGAAGAAGAAATCCCGCAGGATCTGGCAAATTCTCTTCTTCTCTTCTGAAGTCCAAGTGATCAATTATATCCGCTTATTCAGCTTTGTCTAGTTCCCAGGCATCAAATCATTAGCCACAGCTCTTCTGTTCTGCTCATATAGCCTATATCTAATGAAAGGTTCGCTCAGACCTCAAGTTTCAGTGAGGAAAAGCTGACATGTTGCCATGGAAACCCTCTCTGCATATTTTTAAGTGGTATATAGTCTTAACCTTTGCGATCAGAGTTGTTAGGCCCAGTGCACATGATTCTAAAGCATGTTGATAATTAATTGTGCCTTAAGCAGTGTGTTAAATAGCTTTGGCTTTGCATTAATGCACAGTGCAGTAGTGTGATAGTGTCGCATCAGATCTTATCACTCCTGCTTGTTTTTGCTGTGTGGATTGGTTGATGGGCAGTAGGCATGGACGACTTGTTCAAAAGGTGGGCTGTGTGTGGGGGCTGGTGGTTAACTAGAGCATCGCACTGCTCTCTTGGGCCTTGCGCTCATTTTCAGACCTATATAACAAGCTTTGTGTGTCAGGCAAACACATCCCAGTTGACTTGCCTTTATGTGTGAATGGGAAATGCTTTAGACTATCAATTATTCATAGAGGGTTTTTTCCATCCATCTGATTGAGTGTCTGATTTAATCTATTAGCTACAAGAGTCCATGCTGTATTGAGTATATATGGCTAAAGAACTTTGTCACTGTGTCATTTACATTACAGCACAACCTCAAATAGATTATTGCAGTAGTTACTACAACATAAAACACACATGTTAAAATATAAATATTTATTAAACTTTATTTTATCAAACGCATCCTTTAAAGGCCTCAAAAAAATTCTTGTCATGTTGAAACAGGAAGTTGGGCATAGGCATTATCAAAAAAAAAAAAGAAGAAAAAAACTAGCCAGCCAATAGCTTTTATGTTGCATCACACATTATCTGCTTCTTGCTATTGCTAGTCAATAAAACAAGATTTATTAAATAACTCAAGAGGTAATGCAAACAACGACATAACACTACGGAACCGGACAACTGAAGAGTGCACAAGGAGGAACTTAAATACACAATGGTGATGAACAGCTGTGATGATTGAGTTGGTGTCCATGGAAACAGATGAGTGGTGGGAAACTAATGCTGCGTTCCAGGCAGGTTTTTGAGCACGTAAATCACGACTTCAAACCACGACTCACGACTTTGTCGCGTTCCAGGCCAGTCACGCCAAACTACCTGAGCGCAAGGAATTGTGGTAGCTAGATGTAAACAAACCATTGTTGTTTTGTATGGTTTCGCGGGCTATGTGACATCAGAGCTCGTAACTGGGAGTACATCGATCTAGTACGAGTTCACGGGTGGGAAGTCACGGGTTTGACTGCCGTTCCAGTGCACTTTCACGGGTATAAGGTTGGAAAAAGACGGGTTACAGGTTGCCTGGAACGCGGCATAATGCTGCGTCCCAATTCGCATACTATCCGTCCTAAATAGTATTAAAAAATAGAATTAGTACGTCCCAAATCGTAGTATGTTGAAATGAGTGTTCCAAAGAGACCCGGATGGTCTACTATATCCGGTCAGGATCGATGCACACTCTAACGGCTGATATTGCCCACAACCCATCGCGCGTTGGACGAGGATTCGGTTAGAACTACAAACACGAGTGAAAAGTGTTAAACAACTACAGACATGGAGGACACGCGAGTCCGGTGGTTGTGCAGAGAGGTTTAGATAAAGGGGTTTGAGTGATTAATTATCAGTATCTAACCTGCCGAAAATTGATTTATTCAATGTTGTCCACATTATATTGCATCTGCAGCAGGTTTGTGAACTTTTGCAAAGATACGTTTAGCCATTAACTTTTAAATGCATCATTGCATTCAAATTGCAAACACACGAGGAGAGTCTCCGCATCTGAAAGACCCATGACTGGCAGATGAACATTTCTCTCCGAAATGGTAACAAATGATATTAGATTGAATGGAGGATTTTAACTGTGACGAGAGGATTGACAGGGCAGTTTACGGTGATAGGATGCACGCGACAGAGCTGTCCGTTAAAGATGATGAAGTAGTGTGTCCCAAAGCTTGCTTACTCTTTTGATATACACTCAAAAGTATGTACTTCTTTTTCACAAAAAGAGTACATACTTTTAGGGCGTAGTAGTATAAGTAGCCGAATTGGGACCAAGGGGGTAATCCATCGACCGGAAGTTGAAGCCGGCCGGGTCCCGCCATCTTGTAGCAGAACTTCACTTGCGTTAGCATTTCCATTGACTCCCATTCATTTTGGCGTCACTTTGACAGCGAATAACTTTACATCTGAGGCGTTTAAAGACTCCATTTGTCCATTATTTATTTCTAAAGAAACACGACAATGTATACAGAGCTCCATTACCTTCTATGTTACATTATGGCCCCGTAGAAACAGATATTGTAAAAATAGGCTAACGATTGCGTCATAACCACTCGACTCTCTGTCGCGCATGTACAGAAATTACCGTACAGACAGGAGGAGAAGCTCGCAGGCAATCGGGGGGACGTCCCGTTAAGGGAGAAGCTCATAGATAATGAGTCCATAAAAGCAACGGAATACTTACTCCTGCTCACTCACGCCAAAGAACTCTTTGCTCAAGTTCCCCGTCTCTGCAAGATTAACGTTGGCAATTTTCACGCACAGCTACTAGAAGATTAACGCCTGTCAGACAGGTTGCTCACGTCATCAAGCTTAGTTTGAGTCAGTTTGAGTCGGTTTGAGTCTGCGTGTCAGGAACGGAAGTGCTCAAAAATCGCTAAAAATGGGCTTCAACTGATTTCCAATGAGATGGCTCTGTCCACTTCTTATACTGTCTATGATTGGGACGCAGCCTAAGACAAAGGAAACAGGAAACTGACAGTGAACAAACTAAAAGTTCATGAAAATGAAACTAACACAACATAATTGTGACAGACTAAAGCCATATTTTTGGTTTATTTTATTATTAAATTTTTTTTTACAGCATTATTTTAGCATTATTTAGATATTATTGTAGTATTTATTAATGTTTTGAATCAGCATTTATTTTTATATTTTCAGGTCATATATTCAAGGCAACATTTCAAATGTTTTGTCTTTATTTTAAGTTACTTTTTCTGTTTAATTCAGCTGTATTCCAATTAACAAAAAATGTTTTTTTATATATTGACAGCATCAAAAATGGAACTATCCTTTTTGTAAGGAATAATTGACAAAAGGCAGTTGAATTATAAAAAAAAATGCATACCTGAGGTGGTAAAGTTGCCACGACTTGCGTAGCGTTTCTAAAAGCCTAGCTGTAAGTTTAACTGCTTCAAGAACAGCGACGTTACTACCCCGCCGCAGGGAAATGATATGTAGCTTTTCAGTTGCAAAACTATGTTACTGTTAAAGTCACGAGACAGCGCTGACAACAAGTTTGTTTGTGTATGTTTCCATGTGTGTGTCTGTACTACTGTGTGAGTTTGCATGGGAAAGAGAGCGGGAGTGTGCTTTACATAGATAATACAAGGTAATTTAGTTGGAAAAACATGGAAATAGTTTGTAATATTTATCCTGCTGTCTGTTAGATTTATTTGCTTGGTCAGTGTCATTGTGGGTTTTAGTTCTTTTGCTGTTGTAGGCTATAAGGACCTTTTGAACTAACTGAAATCATTTGGCGAAAAGTGATATGGAACTGGTCGAGACCTGCCCTGACCTACTTAAGCTGTGAGTTTCCTGGAAAATAATTGTACACCGTAGAATGTTCATCAACCAATCAGAATTGTCAGAGCCGATAGCCTAATTGGCAGTGCTGTGACATGTAGTGACCTATGGCTAAGCCACGCCCTCAAACGCGATGAGCCAATCAGTGCGCATAGCTAACCCAATACACTCGGACATTCTCTGCTTCCACGTCCATTGAAATGCATTGCAGTTAGTCAGTTTTCATTCGTTTTTATATGTTTCTTCTTGTCATGATTTTAAGTTTAAAATGGTCAAATGGTGTGCATGGGGCACATGCAACTCCGACACTCGGTATCCCGAGAGGCTGGGCGACGGTGTGTATTTTTTACCCTTTCCCAAGCCACATCTCATCCGAGATAAGTCGTATCTGCTCTGGATTAAGTTATGCGGTAACGTTAGACCACAACACCAACTAAACGTGGATAAATTAAACAAGAATTAAACAAGGATGTCTACATCTGTTCTAAGTCAACAACGTATTTGAAGTTTTGAACGTTATCTTTAACATCTCTAACGTAACGTTAGCTTCTAGCTGTGTTGTACATCATGTCACTTAGCTTCATTAACGTATATAAACGTATGTAAATAACCGAGATAACAAATGTTAGCAATGTTGTGCTGAAAGATTCATGTAAATACTGCAGTGCATGAACAATGCTGATCCTCTATCTTGTTGTCTGAGATGGTGATGGCAACGAGATGCCGTTTATCACGTTTACACTGTGACCTGTACATTTTTGCCTGGAGCTGAAGCTTTTCATCGACCTTCTCAACAATAAAATTATTAATATAACCCTCCAATGCATAGTTAATGCCCTTTTAGTGACTTCGAGATGATATATAATCTTTCTTTCTCCAAAAATCATCAATTGCCTCCCGTGAAATGTCTCCTACTGTGACAGCGCCTGTCACCGAATGTTGACTGTTTATCCGAGTGAGTGGAGGGGGCGTGGCTTAGCCATAGGTAAATTGCGCTTTGGGCGACCCGAGTTGGAATCACGGCTTGAGGTCCTTTCCTGATCCCACCCCCCTCTCTTTCCCACTTTGTTTCCTGTCCTCTCTCCAACTGAATAAAGGCAAAAATGCCAAAGAAATACATCTTACAACAAAAAAACAATCAAAATCAAACATTCAACATACCATATGTTCTGCTCTTCTTCATTATTCCACCACCGACCAATTGGGCATCATTGTGTAGGAAGACAAGGAAAACTCTTTCCTGCTTGGCTTTATTTTGTGTCTCTTGTTGGGGTCAAGCGGGTCAAAATGCACTTAGCTTGACAGCTATTTACAATTTGCTGTCTCATTGACAAACGCACTGGTTTGTGGTTTTAACTAGTCTCTCTAGTCTGCGTCACAGACATTTCTAGCAATTATGTGATTATGGCATCCAGAATGGATTGGGTCCTGTGCTAAATTTGGACCATCTGGCTACATATTTATAGGCCCTGTTCCCACACAATCAGGCATATATTTACATGTTAACCTAATTATATGGCGACTTGTTTTGTGGTCATCAGAGTAGCCCAGAATTTCCTGCCTTTGACGTCAATGCCGTTTGATTCCTATACACATATGTTTGCATGGTTGCATCTTCATAACAGACAAGATTTAGAGATTCAACCCACAAATGGGGCAAGATCTTTAAAAAAACTGTATGTTTCTAAAATAGAAGTGAACTGCTCTGTGAAGTGGGTGAAATGACTGATGAACACTCTCTTAAACTGTGCAGATAGGAATTTCTCCTAGAGACAGAACAGTGTCACAGAAAGTCTTTCTGCTTTGCTGTTTAAAACAGGGTTCCTATGTAGAATGGAATTAGTTTTTAGTCATTTCCAAATCTGAAAAAAAAGAGACAAAGTCTGGAAAAATATTTGTGTTCTGAGACTATTGGCTGGGTTTTGTGACGTCAGAAACACCAGCGTCTTTGAAACTGTCTTTGGTTCACTGCAGTTTTAAGGAGAAAATACTCAGCAATGGTGTTGACTTATGAATTTGCACATGATTTTGTCCTAAAGCATATAAAAACACCACGCTGACATACAAAGAACATTAAAAAATTGATTAAAAAACGCATTTAATATTTAAAATGTATGCAGTCAGTGAAAATGAGAATGTGTATCAAACATAACCCTGTATTTTAGCATTGCAGTTTTAATAAAATTCTGCACATTTAACTCTAGATTTGATGTTAATTTATTTGTATGAGCTACAGTACCTTGCTACAATATTCCTACTTTTCAAACATTCATATTAGACAGTATTGTGCTCTGGAACAGTAACTTGAAGGTGGTTGTACCAGAGAATTAGTCTGAGCTCATATTCCTGCCCCTATTCTGCACATGGATGTCATCTAAGCCCTGTTTAATCTTAAATTGCATCACTTCCTGCAAGGTTCCTCCTAGGCCTGTCGCGATAGTCGATAAATCAATTAATCGCACGATAAAAAAAATAAGCTCGATTATTTTTACGGACGCGATAATTTCCATTTGCATGCTTGTTTGTTTTCCTCGTGTCTCTCTCTCTCTCTCTCTCTACCAAAGAGACTGGATGACAACTCTCGGTTTCTTAGCATGAACTAGAGCTTAGATTCTCTGCCCGAGCCCGAGCCCGAACTTGACCCGACCCGGCCCGACACTATCCTCGGGCCGGGCCCTTGATCTAGAGACGTGCACTCCCAACGCAATAGAGTACGGCGCGGCACTAGATTTGATGGCCGGGCGCGGGCGGTTATGCACTCACTCTGTGTGTGCGGGCTGCGGGAGAATAAAACGATTCGCGGGACTCCCGCAAACTAGAAATATCTATGAATAAAACATATAAAAACGAATAGATTTTTATTCATTTGTTGCAGAAAAGCATCAAGAACAACTAAAACAAAACGATTTACAGGCCAGAGTTTCTATTCATAACATGTTTGCAGCGATGAGCGATGTAGCCAATCACAGACATATGTGTTGACTTCTTGAACGCAATGGCCAATCAGAAGCATTTAAGATAGACTCCCCTCACCGCTCAAAACTGACTTTTTGTTCAGTGCTGAATTCTGTATGCTGGCAAATCCTCGAATTATAACAAACAAAGTGTGGATATTATGAAAGATTTATTGTGCAGTCAGCTTCATTGATAATAACAGAGATGTGTGAGATCGCGATGAACTGTCTGCTTTTTAGGAATTATTAAGCGAGCGCACTTTGCGCACATTCATTCATGCCAAACCATGCACGCAGTAGCTGCTTGCTTTTATGTTAAATTAACACTGGTTTGTGTGTTAATGCTTTAATAACAAATCATTTAGGGTAGGGTCGGGTTTTGTTTACATCCATTTTATTTATTGTTTTTGGTATTTATTCAAGTGCATTTTTTGTTAGCAGAGACATTGCTTTTATTGTTTTTGGTTGTTTTGTTCATTTATTGTGGATATTTAAAATGTTTCCATTTTCAGTGTTAAATAGTCTTTAGAAATAAAAGTTTATTGATCTTTGAAAAGGTGTACCTGCATTATTATGCCATTATCATTATTTTAGATGTAAATGGTCTCGGAACGACAATATTATCGTTTATCGCAATAATTTCTTGGACAATTTATCGTCCAGCAAAATTTGTTATCGTGACAGGCCTACATGTTCCTGTCCTTTCTGCCTCTGTCAGTGTGCTGTCCGAGCTGCTACCGAGGGTCGGATTCTGGTGTTGGAGGGGCTGGAGAAGGCAGAGAGGAATGTGTTGCCAGTTCTCAATAACCTGCTTGAGAATCGAGAGATGCAGCTGGAAGATGGACGCTTCCTCATGTCAGCACAGCGCTACGACAAACTCCTGGAGGTGAGGACAACCCTACAGGATCTGTCCTGTGACTGATGCTTCATGAAAGAGACGTCGATAACACTTTACAACAACTTAACATTTACATTGTCATTATGCAGTACATACGCAAACCACAACATTAACGTTTTGTAACACCTGGTGGCTCAATTATAAACATTTACTAGTTTTATATATATATATATATATTTACCATATGTATATAATTTTGTTTTTGTTTGTTTTAATTGGCCAAGAAATTGTGATTTATTTTATATTTTATTTTAATGTTTTGTTTTATTTATTTATTTATTCCAAGAAATTGTGACTTATTTTATATTTTATTTTAATGTTTTGCTTTGTTTTTATTTATTTATTTATTTATTTATTTTTAAATATAATAAAATAATTTCATTATTAAATTTTTATTTTATTTTATTAAAAAATAATAAAATACAATTATTTTATTTTATATTATCTTATTTTCAAAATATACTATGTAAATAACGTTTTATTTACCTGTCTCTACTGTTTGCTATGCTTGTGTTGGCCTGATAGGAGCACACTAAAGAGGAGATGGACGCATGGAAGATTGTTCGTGTGAGTGAGGATTTTCGAGTCATTGCTCTCGGCCTGCCGGTCCCCCGATACAAAGGAAACCCACTGGATCCTCCGCTTCGCTCCCGCTTCCAGGCCAGAGACATCTACTACCTTCCCTTCAAGGTGCTACATGCGTTATGAATTAATCCTGCATTTGATAGATGTGTATTACCAAAAGTGTCCTAAGGTTTTTTTTTGTTTTGTTGTTTGTTTTTTAAAGGACCAGCTAGAGCATCTGTACAGAATTGGACCAAATGTGCCTCCTGAAAGGTACAGCACTTTTCAGACATGGATTTTTCATTGGCTATGTTGCAAACTGAATGTTGAAACAATTTCCCTCCATCTTAGGGTTTCCCAGCTCTTGTCTTTCGCCACTACTCTTTGTTCTCAAGAGTCTGCCAGCTTAAACCTGCCTGATTTCCCTGTGGACAATCTCCCATCAGCCCTCACAGTTCTGGTGAGTAGCAGATCGCGTGAAGTATTATACATAACAGTTAAGGGGGAAGTGTGACATTTCTGGAATTCTGAAAACAAGGCTAATTTTAAAATGTTTGACATTAAGAACAATTATTGTTGTGATGTGATTGTTCTGAAATCTAATTTATAGGCAAGGCAGTACTATGCACTTTATTGACATCTATGGTTCCATGAAAAACCTTTAACATCCATGGAACCTTTCCATGCCACAAAAGGATCTTTATGGTGGAAAAAGGGTTATTTTAGATTGTTAAAGTATTCTTTGCACTAAGATTTTTTTTTCTTCTTTTATTTAAGAACTGTTAATTGTAAGAACCTTTATTTTTAAGTGTGCAGGGACAAGAACTGTTGTTCCAGATTATATATGAGTCTCATATGAGTAAATGAGAAGCAGGATTCTGGACCTTTGATTATGCTAGTGGAAAAGGTATACGAGCACCAATCTACTTTGTCACAAAACGTCACAGTTGACGATAAGGGTTTTAAGCATTCCCGTACATTCCAGGTACATCACATTCATTGTGTAGATATTGTTGAAGGTCATTTGTATCTATTGCAGAACCGGTTCCCCATGCTGTCAGCGCAGCAGCTGGTCCAGAGGCTTTACCCATACCAGGCCATGCTGGGGAAGGAAGGCCGCACCGCCGTAGAAGGGGTGCTCAGTGTAAGGTCCTTTCTCACTCTTACCCAAAATAATAATAATAATAATGGGGTTGTGTAGCCTAGTAGCTTAAAATCTGAGCTGTAAACTGGTGTATACACATATACAGCTTGAATACTGTATGTATTCAGTTATCACTAATAGAGACTCTCTTCTCAGAGGTTTGAATTGACTGATGAGAGCACAAAGCCTTCTCCGACTGCAGTGGTGAACGTTGAGATTTTGAGTGGAGATCATGCAGAACAGGCAGCCGTCACGCTCAACATCGCCAACCAGAACACCACCTTTCAGGTCAGGACACAGCGATGGTGGTAAAGTGCTGTTTTAGGGAAATATCTCTTGAATTACAGTGTTGCCAAAAGTACTGACTTGACAGTGAAAAATGTGACGCTTTGACACTGTTGAGCGGAATCGTAATCACCTCTGATTGGCCATTTTGTTCACGTGCCCATCGGATATGTCTGTGATTGGCTACAATGATCAACGATCAACCGCTCCCGTGTGTATCTGTAAGCGCACGGTGAAGAGTGTCATTGATGTAGATTTATAACATGTTTTTGAAGCGCTGATCTTTGTAGCCAATCACAGACATATTTGATGAGTGCGTGAGTACAATGGGCAATCAGAGGTGTTTACGATTCCGCTCATAGCGTCACATTTTTAAAATTTCAGTACCGACTTGGTACCGAAGTCGCTACTAAAGTAATAAAACTAACTGATGGCATCCACAGGGTCAGCCACGTGTCACTGTAGCTAAGAGCTATAAGATAATGCTTTATTTGGAAATGTGAATTAGATGAACCATTTCTTCCCTCGAAAGGAAATGCTGTGGTTTCTCGTCAGGTTCCTTCTGGGACGCGGCCGATTCGCCCACCCAACAGCAGTCCCGCGTTCATCGGCACCCCCACACACGACCGCCTGCTGGCTGAGATGATGCAGTCCCACCTCGTCAAAGACATGTGTCTGATCGGAGCCAAGGTACACAGGCAACTTCCTGTGGCCACCCTCTTGGAGCAAATGCACTATGAACTAGAAAGTTGATGTGTGTCGAACAAGAACAATAGCTCACTATTCACACTGCCTGTTAAGGTAATGCAGGAAGATCATCAGGGTCTTCTGTGTGTGCGTCATGGGTTGTGTTCTTATTTAAGAGGTTCTGAGTAAGATTAGATCAGATGAACAATGTAAATCATATGCTCGTGTAGCCTTGTGGTTTGGCTAATGCCGTTTCTTTTTTTCTTCTTTTTTCAGGGTTGTGGCAAATCCATGATTGCGAGAGAGTTTGCTGAAATGCTGGGCTACAGCATTGAACCAATTATGCTTTATCAGGTAATGTCTACGCATGAGAAAATAATAAAAACTAATCAGTCCCAAGAAGACAAATTGGTAACATTTGTTTAGAGGAATATGTTCTGGGGTCAATACAAGTTTCAAGTTAAGCTCTATGCGACAGATGCTATCAATTACAACAGAAAAGGGTTGTGAATCTTATTTCAGCTGTTGACAAAATCGTAGTTTAATTTATTCTACCGGTAGACGATCTGTTATTTTCTGGGGTATTGTGTCACAAACGCTGTCAGTAGAACTTAACTTGTATTGATCCTAAAATGTTACTTTAAAGGGATAGTTTACCCAAAAATGAAAACGAGCCCATGATTTACTCACCCTCAAGTCATCCTAGATGTACACATATGACATTTTTCTTTCAGACGAATTCAATTGGAGTTATATTAAAAAATGTCCAGGCTCTTCCAAGCTTTACAATGGCAGTGAATGGCTGTTTCTGTTTTGAAGTCCATAAAAGTGCATCTATCCATCATAAAAATTCTCCACACGGCTCCGGGGAGTTAATAAAGCCCTTCTCAAGTGAAGTGATGCGTTTGTGTAAGAAAAATATTCACATTTAAAACTTTAGAAAGTAAAATAACTAGCTTCCAGCCAAACGAACATACGGATTCGACTTAAGTCCAAACGCAACTTATGCGAGTAATGCGACGTACTGCTGATATTTACGCTACGCCATGACGCACTACGCTACTTCCCACGTCACAAGTTGCGCAAGTAGTATGTTCGTTTGGCCGCAAGCTAGAATTTTGCTTTGTAACATGTTAAATATGGATATTTTTCTTACACAAACGCATCGCTTGGCTTCAGAAGGCCTTTATTAACCCCCCCGGAGCTGTGTGGAGCACTTTTATCATGGATAGATTTCTATGGACTACACGATTCACTCAATCTTTCAATCAGAATAACTTTCATGAGGGGAAAATATATATGTATACTACCGGGGGTCAGGGAATGTGGAAATACTGGATGTACCTTTAACCCAGAATATTCCTCTCTTCTGTTTTGGTCTTTGAGTTTGCTTTCGCATCACATGAGCACGGTTTTGTGTTTGCTCACTTGTGTGCAGCTGTGGAAAGTGAGGTTTGTTGAGGAAAGCTCAGTGTTGTCCTGGGCATCAGCACACAGAGCCAGAGGTTATGCACCACAGGGGTCACAGAGTTTCCATCAGCAATCATTGGTGTTTTTAATATTTGTGATTCTTGTAAGACCACATAAACCATTTTTGAGCTGCAGCCCTTAAATAGCCATTATGTTCTTGGGTTGTTTCTATTTTAGGATCAGAGTCATGGACTGTCCTTGATCTCCCCCAGTTATCATTAACAGCATTGGCCCTATTCTGCTTGTCAGAACACAACGGCTCAGTTCCAAAATCTACTGAGCTGATAGTATTTTACAGTAAAATTACATATAATGCGATGTTAAACCATTTCAAGTTTTTCATGATATATGGTAAAATAACTTAAAATTAACAAATACTTTTTTTTTTCTTTACAGTGTTGTGGTAAACTTAGTGAAAGAATTCTTCAAAATGGTTGACAATTGAATTTTGGTTATTCAATTCTGTGAAGTACAAATGACAATTTGTATTTTACCCAATTACTTTACTATTTCACATGGTTTCTGTGTGTTTTTTACGCATTAATGGAAGTGAAAGTGACGTGAAGGCCAAGTATGGTAACCCATACTTGAAATTTGACCTTATCCAAGTTAGTGCACACACATAGGAGTAGTGAACACACACACACACGCACAAGCAGTGGGCAGCCATTTTTGCTGAGGCGCCCGGGGAGCGATTGGGGTTTAGATGCCCCCGATAGTCATTTTCTGAATCGCATTGAGAATCGAACCTGCAACCTACCAGTCTTACTCTCTAACCAATAGGCCACGGCTGCTCCAGAGTATCACATTGTTAGCTTAGCAACATGTTACTGCCTGTGTAGTGATGCTGCCTATGTAGACAGCAGGGCAGCTCACTAGATTTTGAGGAATGATGGAATAAAAATTGCTCGATTTGTGTTCCACAATAGTCGTACAAGTTTGGAGAGACCTAAAGATGTTTTGGATTAACTTTTCCTTTAATGTTTTGAGTAAAAAGACGACAATGCACACTGAGACTTCATCTGAAATGATGTGAAGAGCTCTTGCTGTGTGACCAGCGTCCGGGTGCTTTTCACACCAGCTGAGAGGCCCGTTAGCATCTGGGTCTTATCGCAGCATGCTCGTGTTTTGATGCAACTCATACAGACTCTGAAGAGCCGCTTAAAACAGAGAGTAAACATTAGCACCGCAGGTAATAAACCGTTGCGTGCATGTCTGTGTTTGTACTGGAATGTCGGGAATTCCTTTGGCTCAGTGAGAATAGAGCAGGAAAGGGAAGCTGTTTGTGCATCATGCTTAAGTTATTTTTGCCCGGTGAGAGCAGGAGGTCATAGTGTATGGGGAAAAGAGGAATTTTGTAGCGCACTTCATCTTTTTAGCCCTCTGAAGCCCTTTTTATGAACTCGTACGGGCCACGGCTCATCCCCGATGACATAGTGTTTTCAGTTGTGGAAAAAAAACTACGTCACGGCCCAGAAAAAGGCTTGGCACTCGCTTTGACGAGCAATGATGTTTTGCGTCCTGTGTTTCCTCTTGTTATGATAGTTTTGTTCTCCTTGTGTAGATTCACCTTTAGATAACTTTTCAACGTTTTCCTTGCCTTAAAAGTTCATGCTAATTTTCCTCAAACAACCTGGCAAACAGTCGTAGAGGAAAAGTTCAGCTGATCTTATTTCCACGCTCAAGGCTTTCTAAATTAATTTCAGTGTATAATAACATAAATTAAATGTGATCTTTATGATACTTTATATAGGTGAAATTGGAGTTGAAAATTGTATGTTTGAACATGGTTGAGGCTATTTTCTTCTGCTCACCAGGGCTACATTTATTTAATCAAAAATACAGTAAAAACAGTATAATTATGAAATATTAGTTGTGTCCTAAAGACGGTTCACTCCCATTGCTTATGAATGGGAGAAAATGCAACGTGCAATATGGCAGAATATAGCCAAGCGCTGATTGGAAAAGTCATTGCAGCTGTCATTAGAAGCATCATTTCCCATAGAAACCTGAGACTCGTGCTTATGACTGCACATGCTCATTGGCTGGTCTATAATTAAAGCTGCGACAGTTAAGTGCAAGAAGTGTCCAACATGCCACACTTGGGTTTTTTCCGGGGCATCATCCGGGTATTTAAAGTGTACTTTTTCTATTTTAAATTTTTTGTGTGAACACCACTTACACTATGTATACTCCAAAACAGTATAGAATAGTGCGTGAGTACTCTAGTTGTGACACACTCTATTGTTTTGCATTTTAATATATTTAAAAATATAAATTATTGGTATTAACAATGTTCAAAACAGTTGTGCTGTTTAGAGGGGTCATATGATGCTATTTTCAAAGATCATTATTTTGTGTATTGGGTGTAATAGAATATGTTAACATGATTTAATGTTCAAACTATTCACATTATCGTAGCTCCTTTATGCTCCGTCTTTCTAAAACACGTCGATTTCTACAAAGCCACTCCTTCCGAAAAGCATAGTGTGCTCTGATTGGCCAGCTGACCCAATGCGTTGTGATTGGCCGAACACTTCAAACGTGTGTCGGAAATGTAACGCCCCTTCCCATAATCGCGAGCTTCAGCTTCCAAAGCAATTATAAAGACCAGTTAATAATGTTGTCAGTTTTACCATATCAGTTTTCATTCTGAAAATGCAGATGACCAAGCAGATACTCGTGTGTATTTGCAGTACACAAGCCTCGGAGAACAGTGGATACTACAGTATGTTTGTAAACGTAAATCCATCTCTGCACTTTTGATCGTAAGAACGACAAACAATATGCATTAACAATATGCTACACTGCACAAAACTCTACATTTGAACAGGCAATAGCTAATACTTTAACAGATGATTAAACATCCTTCCAGGCTCTGAATCAGAAGCTCCAGATTGCCTTAGCAAAGTTGAAATTTTCCCTTTTTTTATTTTTAGAAATGCACAGCCGGTCTTGTACTCTCCCAGGTTTCAGGAAACTGTTCTCCGTAAAATGCGCTGCACACACACAAACATTTGGGTTGTACTGTTCTGGAACAGTGTTATAAATAAATCTTAACCACTGATTCCTAATGGCGTCCACTTTCAATAGGCCAAATAAAGTGCTGCTTTTGCTTTCACATAGACACACACAGCGTCTCACGACATGGCGGTGACAATGCATTTGGGTGGCATTATGCAAATATTTCCACCTAGTGATGTAGGTTGGCGAGGGAGAATTCAATCGAAGTGTTTTAGCTTGGTCTGAATATGCCTTCTCTTTTAGATAGAATAAAAAAAAAATTGTGGGAGACTTTGAGCTTTGTAACTTTGCAGATCTTATACATGAACAAACAGCTACATAACACACTAAAGAAAAAGGAAAACATGAAAGCGCATCATATGACCCCTATAATATTTTTGTGGAAATCATGATTTTTTTTTTTTTTTTTTCAGGATTATTTGATAAATAGAAAGTTCAGAAGAACCAAATCTTTTGTAGCATTATAAATGTCTTCGCTTTCACTTTTGATTGATTTAATGCATCCTTCCTGAAAAAAAAAAAAAAAAAAAATCTATATAGTATGTACATTGTGTATATAGGTAGCATATATATTATATTGGGCACTATGGTCCAAGGATGTGAGATAATTTTTTAATAAACTTAAACACAAAACTGGAACAAACCAGAAAATCCTTTGTACAAAAATGATTGAACATTTGACACAATATTTATTTAAAATGATCTGATATATTGATCTGAAACTACTTGAGATCATGGCCCTTTTGATTTCATCTTGAGTCATTATATTTGTGTTATTGTACAGTCGATGTGAAGCCCTTGAGTGTGAAATGCTGCCCTCCGATCACTGTGACTCCACGTGAAGCTGTACTCAAATGCAAATGTTAAAACCCAGCCCACACACACACTTCTGTCCTTCTTTCACCCCTACCCTCTCTGTCACTGCACTACAGGATACAGAAAATGACAGGTGTTGCCTCTCTGTCTCTCTCTCTCTCTCTCTCTCTCTCTCTCTCTCTCTCTCTCTGTGTGTGGTAGGATATGACAGCGCGGGACCTGCTCCAGCAGAGGTACACCCTGCCTAATGGAGACACAGCCTGGAGGGCATCCCCGCTGGTCACTGCTGCTCAGGAGGGCAAGCTGGTGCTGCTGGACGGCATCCATCGGGTCAACCTGGGCACTCTGGCTGTGCTGTCCAGGTCAGTCTCAACCCCAACCGCCTCCATTTAGAGGCTTACATCATGTCCTAACCCTGAATGATGCAATCATTTTTATTGGCCGTCATCCAGAATGGTCCAAAATATTGTTGTTGTTGTTATTATTACTATTATTATTATTCATAATGTTGTTATTATTATTGTTGTTGTTGTTGTTATTAATTTAAATATTAATTATATTCAATACATATTTTTTATTATTTTTAATTACTACAACTGATAATAATAATAATAATTCAAATATTCATAACAAGAAATTATTATTATTAGTAGTAATAGTAATTTATTGATAAAATGAAAATAATAATAATACTTATTATTATTATTATTATTATTATAACTAATATAATAATTATTACTACTGCTGTTACTTTTGTTATTACTACTACTAATATAATATAAATTATTATTAATAATAATAATAATATTTATTTATATATAATAGTATTTATTTGTTATAATAATAATAATAATAATAGGTGGACAAACAACTAGAAATTATTTTGCACAATATTTTTTAAATACTTTTTTATACTTTTGTTTCTGGTATTTTTGGTAGAATGTTATTTATTTATTTTTTATCTGAGAACACTCTTGGTGTGAAAATCCCAACACTGCTGTTTCTGTGCTTGTGATCTTCACTTTAGAGCAGATTGCTGATCTTCACTCACCTCTTGTTGTTCTTGATTGGTTGGGTGATTAATCTGCCCTGTCTTCTGTCTCAGGTTACTGCATGACCGAGAGCTGGCTCTGTATGACGGGACTCGACTGCTCAGGTGGGACCGTTACCAGACTCTAAAAGAGGAACTGAAGCTCACTGACCAGGAGCTGCAAGACAGGTAATAATCTTGTTGCAAAAAACGGCATAATTGTCATAAAAATGACACATAAATATCATTCTATTTTCTTCTGGTTATTTTTAATGAATATTCAATATAAATAGCATATAGTGTTTCTGGTTATGGAACCAAACATTTTTATATTATCAAGAATGTCTAAATAAACACAGTAAAAATAAATTATTAAAGAGTTAGTTCAGTTCACCATTTACTTCAGTTCACTATCTCGCGTCCATCTAGGGGTGGTGATGGCGCAGTGGATAAGACACATGCCTTTGGTGTGAGAGACCCGGGTTCGAATCCACTGTGAGACACCAATGTGTCCCTGAGCAAGACACTTAACCCCTAGTTGCTCCAGAGGCGTGCGACCTCTGACATATATAGCAATTGTAAGTCACTTTGGATAAAAGCGTCAGCTAAATGAATATAAAAAATATATAAATAAATCTTCGGAAAACACATATTAAGATATATTTAATATTCTCTCAACAGTTTTGTCCATCAATTGAAAGTGCATACAACCAAAACTTTCAAGCTTCAAAAGTTAAGTAATCCAAATGAATCGAGCGCTTGTATCAAAGTGTTTTGAAGAGATGCAATTTTCAGATTTGTTTGTAAAATATAAGAATATATCATCATGAAATCTCATTATCAAAGTATCGTTTTAATTATTTATTTATTTCATTTTAATGGTTTTGCTATATGAAATAAATGTATGTAAATATATTAACTATTCCTGTATCTCCAAAAAACAACAACAAAAAAAACGGTGCGAATAAGCTGAAAGATCCATTTAAGTTGGATACACGCATAATGGTCTTAGGAATGGAACAAGGCTCTCATTAATTTGTAAACGTTTTTATGTCCAACTGAGATAATGCTTTTCAGAAGTGTGCCGTAGAAATTAAGTACTTACATGGGACTAGTTTTCTATTTAGTGTATAGTTTCGCAATACGACAGACCATTCGAAAGGGAACCCAGCACTTATCAGTACCGTTTCTCATGAGAGCTGCCTTCCATCTATACTATCCTTCCATCTATACATTCGTCGCTGTGACAACTGCACTTACAGAAGGGAACACGTGCTGTGGCTGTGCAGTGTGCCACAATCATGGAACAGAATAGAAATCTCACACCAATCAACACCTGTATGTGTGCACAGCGTCTCATGGGGGAGATTATTTAGCACATTCATAGTAGACCTTTCTTTGTATGAACCGTCTCCAAGCAATCAGATGATAATGGCATATCCAATGTATTTCAATTCAGTTTTGAAAACTTTGTCTATCACATAGTGATTGAAATCTGTCCGAGGTTAGAGCTAACAAGCAACATCAAAACATTCATAAAAAAAACACATATAAAAATATAGCTAAAATCAGAGACTACATTCAAACTGTCAGTCCAAATCTGATCATTTGTGTATGTGATTGGAATCCGATCTAAATTAATGATGACTGTCCACACAGTGTATCGCATCAGTTCTGATTTGTGCTCTTTTGTTTTCCGGAATATCTGCATTGGTTTCTATGACACACTGAACCCGGTAAATTACCGTAAAATTAAATTACCAGATTGATTTTTCCAGACAAATGTCCATCTACTGCATGTTTACATAGAAAAACAATTAAAAGCAGTGGAGCTTACTGTAAACGGCTCCAATAAAGCTTTATTATTGGCCCAAAGCAAACTTCTTAAGTCAACATTCTGACTTTCTGACCTGTACGTGCTCATACCGGTAATCCTTTTCTTTTCCTTTCCTTTTCTACTGTTTAGAGACACACATCCTTTCCTTTTCTACTGTTTAGAGACACACGATCTCTAAACAGTAATTCACATGTATTAACCTTTATTTAACCAGGCAAGTCACTTAAAGGGACTATATATAACTTTTTCCCCAAAATAAACGTAACAATAGCCTTTTTATTTTACCATTTATGACTCAAACATCTCCTGTTGAGCATACTGACACCTTGTCCGCTCACAGTGGGTGCACCTATAAGCCTGTATCCTATTTTTCCTATTTTCTGTCGGGTCGGATTTTTCCCGCGCTGTCGGCGGATGTGACGTCAAGCGCGTTCATGTTAAACGTTTCAGATCACTCTGCCACCACCGCTTGCCAGCACTTATCTCAAACAATTATGTATTTGACTGTTCTTACCTCTGTAAACATAATGTTGACCTCCTTGCAGCAGATGACTTGTGAACTGTGCACGTACGAGAGCGAGCAGAAAGGAAGAGCAGTTCTGTTTTTTGGCCACAGGTGTCAGTCGCGAGTTTAAATTTCAGAAAAACGCATATAGCCTCTTTAAGAAAAAGTTCTTATTTTCAACAACAGCCTGGCAGGAGAGACTTTTCAATCTCCTGAAAGTTGTACAAACATGCATTACTATACACACACAAATACATTCATTAAAAACATTTACAGGCCGTGATAAAAACACTCCCTAGTAGTTTGCAGAGATTGAAATATATGTCTCTAATTTCCATGTCTTTTGTACCATTTGGAGCAGCAAAACCAAAAGCGGAACGACCATAAACAATTTTCTTCCTAGGGATAATTAAATGAATATGATTAGATGATCTGGTTAAAACATGAGGTTGCAGCAACTCTTGAAGATATATGGCTAACAAACCTAATAGGACTTTATAAAAAAAAATACACTAGTGTATTTCCCATCTAATATGTAATGACGTCCACTTTAAAAGGGAATACAGTTCACAGTGATGTGTTCTGTAAGATGTATTAGTAATCAGTCTAATAGATGCATGAGATAATACATCTAATTGTTCTAGAACATTCCTATTCACTTCATCACCTTAGTCAAACAACGGTAAAATAGTGGTTTAAACAAGATATTTCTTGGCTGATGTAGTGAACGTAGATCTATTTCGATTTATAAAACGGATAGTTCCGGTCCTTGATTCTGATTGGTTGAGCCGCGTTTGAAGCCGTTGTAAATTACTCAACAAACAAACATACACCTGTGACCGCATTACATTAGTATTACTGCGCACCTGCCATTTGTGATTCTTTGTTGCTGCATGTGTTGCTTAGCAACATCTTTGGAACTACATTGCTTGGCGGAGGAATAAATGTGCTATTATGTTATATTTTTTATTGCTGGTGTTTATTTTATGAATAAAATAAATATTAAAATGAATATTTTTTATGGAGTATCCGTTTTATAAAAGCAATAAGCCCCTTGAAGCTGTGTTTCACAGTGAATTAAGAACAGCTAAGGGGGTTTTAGGCACTCCGCTCCGTGTCGTGCCTAACAACGCTCCTTAGCTGTTTTAAATTCACTGTAAAACACGGCTTCGCAGGACTTATTGCTAATAAGAAACCAAGTGTAGGTTTAACTTTCTTTTGAATATTGATTATATGATTATCATAGCTATCCAGCCAAATTCCAAGATATTTATATGAAGAGACCACTTAAAGTTTTACCCCATTTCGGGATGTAATATCATACATGGTTGGTTCTTTCCGAACCACATTACCTTCGTTTGTGGGCTATTCAAGACTAATATAAATCATTAAAAGTTTCTTGAATACTATTAAAACTAGCCTGTTTTAAAACTTCATCATATGATGATCCTATATAGAGTAAAGCATGGTATTATCTGCGTATAGGTGAATATAGGTTTTCTCACTACAGATAGTCTGGTAAACACTATTAATATAAACTGAAAACAGGGTTGAAGCTAACTCAGAGCCTTGAGGAACCCCTTTCTTATTTGTTAATAGCTCAGATAGTTGTTGTTCAATCTTTACATGTTGGGATCTACTAAATAGATAATTAGAGAACCAAGATAAAGTTAAATTAGATGCGCCAATAGCAATACTACATAATCTGGATAACACAATAGAGTGATCAACTGTATCAAAAGCTTTCGCAAGATCAATAAAAATTGCTGCACAAAATTGTTGTGTATCTAAAGCATTATAAATATCGTTCATAACTTTTACAGCTGCTGTAATGCAACTAAATGATGAATGAAAACCAGATTGAGCATCAGATATGTTACATTTATTAAGAAACCCTAATAATTGCTTATTAATTAATTACTTTTGCAACACAAGGCAAACTGAAATTGGCCTATGTGAATTTGGATACATTTTATCACCATTCTTATAAACGGGATATCTCTGCAGTATATATATATACACTCACCGCCCACTTTATTAGGTACCCCATGCTAGTAACGGGTTGGACCCCCTTTTGCCTTCAGAACTGCCTCAATTCTTCGTGGCATAGATTCAACAAGGTGCTGGAAGCATTCCTCAGGGAGTTTGGTCCATATTGACATGATGGCATCACACAGTTGCCGCAGATTTGTCGGCTGCACATCCATGATGCGAATCTCCCGTTCCACCACATCCCAAAGATGCTCTATTGGGTTGAGATCTGGTGACTGTGGAGGCCATTTTAGTACAGTGAACTCATTGTCATGTTCAAGAAACCAATTTGAAATGATTAGAGCTTTGTGACATGGTGGAAGTAGCCATCAGAGGATGGGTACATGGTGGCCATAAAGGGATGGACATGGTCAGAAACAATGCTCAGGTAGGCCGTGGCATTTAAACGATGCCCAATTGGCACTAAGGGGCCTAAAGTGTGCCAGGAAAACATCCCCCACACCATTACACCACCACCACCAGCCTGCACAGTGGTAACAAGGCATGATGGTTCCATGTTCTCATTCTGTTTACGCCAAATTCTGACTCTAACATCTGAATGTCTCAACAGAAATCGAGACTCATCAGACCAGGCAACATTTTTCCAGTCTTCAACTGTTCAATTTTGGTGAGCTCTTGCAAATTGTAGCCTCTTTTTCCTATTTGTAGTGGAGATGAGTGGTACCTGGTGGAGTCTTCTGCTGTTGTAGCCCTTCCGCCTCAAGGTTGTGCGTGTTGTGGCTTCACAAATGCTTTGCTGCATACCTCGGTTGTAACGAGTGGTTATTTCAGTCACTGTTGCCCTTCTATCAGCTC